CCATAAAATATTGAACTTGTTTAACGCATGATGGCAATAATAATTTTATTTTATAATTTTAATATTCTTGTTAGTCTAATAATTTATAAATGGATTTAATTTAATTTCCTTTCGAATGTAAAATATCTTTTTCATTTGTAACATTTAACATTCTTTAACGAGATGTTGTACATATTGCGCTTCTTGGCTTTGTGTAAACTCTTTTTCTTGAGTTTCTGTATTTTTTTGTCGTAATTTCTTATTTGCTTTGTTTAATCTTTGACGTTCAGTTGATCTATTACTTAATGCTCCTTTTTTAGCACGAAATCGTTTTTGGTGTTCAGCATTACTTAATACTTTTCGCGTATGTTCCATAAAAAGTTATCACTTCAAAAAAGTTTATCTGGTGATGGTTTGGAACTTTTTAAGCTCTGCTTCAAATAGTTAAAAATTGTAGAAACATTGGTAACTTTGTTAAAGCGTTGAAAGAGAATCAAAATTTCCTTTTAATTGAAACTTTGTGTGCGAGCAAAAAGAGGCTTCTACATAAAGTATCAAGCTGAAAAAGTAGAAACTTTCATAAAATCGAGCAGAAGGCTGATCCCAGATTTTTAATTTCAATTAGCACTAAAAAGTCTAATGTGCCCGATGATCGGACGAAACATCTTTGACTGAGAATGCTGCTTTAGTTTACATGAGCGATCATCCAAACCAGTTTGAACGTGAAATATATTTGCCATTGAAAATATTGCCGTGCTAACTCTGGAACTTTCTACATTATTGTAAACAACCCAAAAACGGAAATCGAACTGCAAAGCAAAGCAATTACTCATCCAAAGGGCGATCAGGCAAATGGTTATATCATCATGCTAGCTCAGTAGCTCGGTGCGTTTGGAATGTGATAAACATCTCTATATCGCATGATTTTTTTCAAAAGCTGACTAAATTTCAGTTTCTTACGGACAACGAATGAAATAGGTCGTAGGTTCTTTATGTCTTGCCGGGATATATAGAGTGATTTCGTTCCAATAACGCAAGTTCGGTAGATAATCCTGGACGTTAACTGCTGGATATGCACACTAAATATAGTGTGCTTTTTGAGGGTAATGGGTCGAAAATGGGGGATGACGCACCTGGTTGCAAAAAGCTGGTAAGAACAATTTCTTATAGATACCTAAATATATTTCTTTGGTTGAACTGATTTTAGTTTTTTTGAGAGACAACTGAAGTGGTATGGAATTTTTACATTCAAATGTCTGTTTTTCCTTTGTTCATTTCAAATAAAAGTGAGTTTTATATTAAATTTCTCTTATACTAAATATTTTTTTCTTTCTTTCCAGGTGGCACGTGCCGCACAATGCAACCTTTTCAGTAAGTTTTTGACATTATACTTTGCTCCTGGTTGCCATGTATAGATGTAAAGCGTTTAGTCGCATATATTTTTGAATTGTATATTTTATAATATTGTTGCTTATAATATTTATTCGACGAGGAAGAACATGGACTGTCTGGATTCTGGATATGGTTTTATTTTATTTTCAAATTTTATTTCTGTGAAATTAATCAAAGTCAAATATTAACTTAATAAGGCCCGTGTCCCAAGCATCCTTTTATACGATGGTACGAAAGTGTTTCTATTGGTTGGAGATCTGTCAGTTCCTACGACGACGGACGAATTGACACATCTCCAACCAATCGAAACACTTTCGTACCATCGTATCATCGTATAAACGGATGCATGGGACACGGGCTTTAGCCTACGTTATCGATTGAGGTTTCCTACAGTAACCTGAACTCTATTAGAACAATTTTTTCTTGTGTAAATCACAGCCTAAATTAAATTTAACTGTTCTTGTATTCTCAATAGAGATTTTTCGAGTTTTTAAGGTTTTAATTATTTTTACTTCACAGTATGTATACAATTTTACGTAAATTTAGTAAAATTTTTAATGTTTTTTGCTGTCGTCAAAGATAAAAATAATATTCCGATAACCAGTCCTTAAAGGTAGGTGGAACTTGTTTATTACTTTGATGGTCTAGCAGATAGCGCCTTAAGAGACTTTATGTGATCCTGGCTTACCTATTTATATTTCGCATTGTCTTAACAATTTAGGTAAAACAATTTTTCGCAAACGATTTACGCTAGGGAATTTCAGCGGCTAGGATCCATGTAAGTGGTTCAGATCAGGGGAAGTTTAACGCACAGAACATACCCCCTATTTTTTTGTGGGGGATATTTTGTGGTTTAACGGTCTGGATTGGAAAGGCATCTTTATTTTGTAGTAGTAGATGGCAATTTTAAAACATTTATGCTGCTCCCATGTGCAGTTTTGCGTATTTTATCTAGCGACTTTTATTGCGGCTTTTGTATTGCGTTTTTGCGAAATTGAAATGGCGGTTTTTAAAGGATTGAATTTCTATTGCGGTTTGTGCGGGTTTTACGCAGCGGCTTTTCAAAAATGGTAGCGTTTTTTTACGAAGGTTAAGTAAATTTAGGTGTGTTGTTAATATTTAATTAGCATGAAACAAATAAATTAATAATAATTTTTCTTAAAACATAATATTTTTTGTAACT